ATGAAAAATCAAAATAGGTGGTCAGTTAATGTGTGGGGTGGAATACTGGGCCAATATTTAATTGGACCCTATTTTTTTGAAGGGCATCTAAATGGTTTGATGTTTCTCCAGTCTCTAATAAACCATCTCTCAATATTATTAGACGAAGTCCCTTTCAATATTAGAACCAACATGTGGGTTCAATTGGATGGAGCTCCGCCTCATTATCACTGCGAAGTTCGGGAATTTTTAAATGCAAACTTTCAAAACAGGTGGATTGGCAGAAATGGGTTTAAAAATTGGCCCCCCAGATTTCCGGACTTAACTCCACTAGATTTCTTTTTGTGGGGGTACATAAAAGGAATTGTCTACCATACGCTTCCGACAACTTCACACGATATGAAAACACGCATAAGAGACGCTTTTAAAACTGTAACTCCGCCGTTGTCCAGAGTTAGCAGTGGTTTTGGAAAAATAATTTACAAGTGCCTGGAAATGGACGGTCAACATTTCGAACATTTGTTATAAATAATTTGCCTTTGTTTTATGTTATTGTTGATACGTTATTTAACCTGCACAACACGATTATTTGGTTTATTTTGTAAAAAGGCAAGAACTTAGTTATCAACATCCTAGTACCATTCGATAGGTAATTAAAAATTGCATTTCCTGGTAAGCTAAAAAAATATGGGGTTGTATTTAAATTAATCAAGTTATAGCCACTTAAAGTTCTTTAAGTTAAGATTAGTTTAAATTTGTTGACACCCTGTATAAAATGGTAATTTTATTATCATTGGGATATAAAATATGATTTCTTGTTACACCAAACTACGAATTACGTTTACATAACTTAAATAATTCGCAAGTATTTGACACCTGAAAATAATATTAGATTTTGATAAAATTCGAATTATTTAAAAAACCTTTAGATTTAGACCTTATAAATCTTATTAAAACAAACCCTCTGCTCAGAGAATCCAAAAATGCAATAATATATAGGGTATTTTATTTAGAAAAACACAACTTTGATTCTTTTAGGGCTTTTGGGACACTCTGTACATTACAAAAATATTTTTAAAATGTGCACCCTTTAAGCGTCTGTGGATTCATCACATAATACTTTGCAAAAAACAAACGGGCTACCCGCAAACCCTGTATAAATTGAATGCATATCTGTCACAGATCTCACTTTTGCATTCGATTTCATCTAAAATAGCTTCACACTTAACTAAGGGCTGGAAATAACTGACTTTACCTAATGGTGAATGATATTTGATTGCTTTAAATGAAATAATATACTTGGCCGATTAACGCATGCAACATCCCCATGTCGAAGTAACAATAAATCCTATTTTCAGTTATTCCTGGAAGTCCGCACATTCTGGTCGGAGATAGAATGCT